ATTTCAAAAATAATTTAGTAGGAAAAGATTTTACTTAACGAAGTTACGAAATTTTAATAAAATATAGCTCGTAAAAAATCAATTTAAGTATAAACACATAATGTTGTTCTTACAGCGTACAGACTTACAGTATTGATAACAATACCTTTTTAGTTTAAGAAAAGTTTAAAATTAGAAAATCTTTAAAATATATTTTTTTCTAACATTTTTTTTTTGATTCTTAAGGGTTTTTATTTAAAGTCTAGGTAAATAAATTTGAAATAGAATACGTATTAGAAATAGAAACGTATTATGTTAAACAAAAATATTAAATGAAATGACTTCAGGCGCTAATATCTAATAAATAATCTCAAATTTTCTAAATAGAATAAATTAAATTTGATTTTACAATGAGGTATAACGAAAGATATTATTTTCTTAATATAAACTAATGTTTTTAATAGAGGTTTTCGATGAGTAATGAATAGCTAATAATTTATTATAAAATAAATTAAATTTATAATAAAAAATAATAGAATAAATTACAAAATAAAATATATGTATTTATAGAAGAATAAAATATATATAATATAGAAAAAAAAATATTTTTAAACATATGATTTAATCCAGCTCTATAATTCTATAATTTATTATAAATACAACATAAATACATAAAATCCGCTGTAATTTAATTTAATATAGCTTATAAGATTTGAACTGAGTGATTATCGCTTTTAATAATTATGTTTTAAAGAAACAAAACATATCTAATATATAATTAAATAACGTGCTACAAAAATAAATAGTAAAAATAAATAAAAACAAACAATAAGAATATTAAAGAAAAACAATTTATTTATTTTATACAATTCAAATCAAATCATTACAATATTTAATTGTATATATTTCGTACATCCATATAAAATATTTTATGCATTAGGCATGAAGACATTATAGTTTTATGTTTTACAATGTTTTTTTTATAAAAAAAACATAATTAATTCCAAGATATATGTATCGTATATGCAGAATAAGTTTAATTATCATATATATAACTGTTTAAATAACATGAATAATATAATTATCAAAATGTTTCTTATTGTATTTCATATTCTTTTTAAAGTTAAACATTTTTAAAATTCAAATTTAATATATACTGCTTAAAACGTTTTTGTCCATCCGAAATAAACTTATATATTTAGTATTAAAATTAAAAAATATTAACTAAAATCAAAAAAATTTATTTATAAGAGATGGTGCATTCATTTTTTATACATATATATATAATACACCGTAATAAGTAAAACAAAAACATAAAAAATTAATAAAACTTTAAACGAACAGTACGGAGAAGAGATTTAAAGTAAAAACAAAGGTTTTTCAAACTATCACAGAATTTATAAAAAAAACGGAAACAACAAAAAATAATCTAAACACATAAACAAAAATGAAATTAATAAAAAAATTTAAAAAATATTAAATGATTGAACTATTTTGCATAAATTTGGAATATATGCAGAAAAGTGCATTTTTAAAATTCTACCAAATTTCATTTATAAATTTCCAAAAATTCTTTAAGTAAGCAACAAGCATTTTCTGAAAGTACTTATTATAAATTATTTTGCGAACAACTATAATTAAACAATTATGTATAATTTATATTTTATATATATGTAATAAAATATTGTGTTGTTTTATCATCAAATCATTATAAATATATTTGCAGTTGAGTACCAAAAATTTATATTACACACAATAACTGCATTCACTTCTTAATATCAGTTAAGTACGTAGAAATAAATTGAAGCAAATAGATATATAATATTTAATATATATATGTGTATCAAAACATGTATTTTTATTCGCTATATTTGTCATTTTTTATTCAAATTCAGTTTAGAAAAATAAAAATAAGTACTTCAAGTATTTTTAAATTTTATTTGTTTTGTTTTTATAATGTATATATCGTTTTTTAAACATTTGCATATATATAATTAATGTATTATATATAATGGATACTTTATTGTTTAAGATTATTTTGTCTTTATGTTGTTTAATATAATTTCATCTATATTAGCTTAAACTTAAAGAATTTTTAGAAACTTAAAAACTAATTTATAAAAATTAACACAGCTCGTTTTTATACACTTCTTCTATGGCTACGTGTATAAATGAAATATAATGTAAAAATGGTATGATATAATAAATAATTTATAACATTATTCTATAACAATGAAATATATATATAAGTTTATATATGGTTTTATATATAATATGTAATAACTTGGCATAAAATTTTTTAAAACAAAAAATTAATAATAAAAAATTAATGCAATAATAAAACAGAATTTTTAAAGCACATACATACATAAATTTTAAATTATTCATTATAAAGTATAAAGTATAAAGTTAACATTTTATATTTTATTATTTAAGATTTTGTGTCGTTCTTGTGTAATTTTAACAAGAAAATAATTGTATAATTTCCAGTTCAGTGCAAGGAAGTGAAGACAAAACACATTCATAAAACTTTTAATAAAAGTTCACAATCAAAAGCTTTCCAGCAAAACTTTCAAACTGGTATAAAACTTTATGTTGCAGTTATTCGCTTTTAATACTTTAGACTATCAGTGTGAGCTTATGCCAAAAAGTATTTTACAAAAAGCCTTTCTTCGTATAGACACAAACTGCCAAAGCTTTAGTATTTATACTCATAAATACATACAAAAGCTTAATGGAGAAAACACAGTAGCAATATGCCATCGTCTAACATTGTACTTCTTTCTACTCATTGTTTTTATGCATTTTCAATGAGTGAGTTGCTTTTTAATTAGCGCCTGTAGTAGGCGTGTTTTGGCTTTCTTCTCTTTGTACTGTGCATAAGTTTCTTCGATGTTACGGCGATCATTTTTTAGCATTTTACGACCATTTTGCTCTTCAAATACTGTCTCGTAATCTCGTATGGTGCGTTTAAGCATCTTCTTGTCTTCGCGTGCCTTCTCCAAATGTTCCCACAGTTGATCAATGCTTAGTTGACCAATATTTTCATTGGCGTCTGCGGCTGCAGTTTGTTGGGTAGAGGTGGTGGTGGTTGTTGAGTCGTCGGAAGAGGCAGCTGTAGTTGGTGCTGCCGAATCGCTGGGTGAGTTAGTTGTTTCAGTGCTGTTGTTTGAAGAATACTGTTGAGATATTGTTGATTCAAAGACCATAGCTTCATGCTCCAATATAGTGGGTAGCTCATGTACGCCACCACTTGAGCAACCCGACAGCATAACACTGCGTGAAACCATACGTTTTATTTGACGATAGCGATCGTATATGGCTCGCGCAACATCACGTTCGTCTTTGGAATTAGGGCGCCCATATAGGGATTCAAAATAGAGTAGGCCATGCTGTACAGCCGATTTTTCAGCTAATAATTGATCTGGTGTTAGTTCGTCAAGTACGTTGGAGCGATTAGCATCATGTTGTTTATCACTAAGATTCTAAAAAGAAAAGTTAAAAAAAATTATTATTATTTGTTGTAAATATATATTATATAATTATTTTTAGTATTAAATTAATTTCTTTATTTATTGGTCTTTTTATTATTATTATGTTGAGCCTAGTTGAGTCAGTGTACTTGAGCACTTTTATTTTTCATAAGGCATAATATTCTGCATAAATAATAATGATATTGTTTTAACGCGGCTGACTATCAGAACTACTATCAGAACTAAATCAGAACTACTATCAGAACTACTACAGTTCCCGGCACATGTATTTTAAAATTCTGATCGAGAAATTTATATGAAAATAAGGTCTATCTCTATAGTAGAGATATTAAAAACTACTTAATAATTAAAAAATTTAATAAAAACTATTGAAATTTATTCTTACAGCGTGATTTTATTTAATTGACTCTAATTTACGGAACAACTAATTAATATATTTAATTTAAAAATGTATATATTGCAGTTTAACTGTTTGTAAAATCTAATTAAATTAAAATGTGTGAATATTTTTTTGTACTGAAAAGAGCAACAACAACCAAAAGTACAACAATAAAAAAAATTTTTAACTAAATTTGGCTCTATTGAGGCAATACTATTCCGGCGAATCGCTAATTTTAGTTGCCGTGAGACTGTGACATTTTGGTCATTTTGGTCATTTTTTGCGACTATAATAGCAGTCAACAACTCGTTATTTAATTAATATAAACTTTTTATTGTCTGACAAAATAAACACAATGTAAACAAAGTTATTAATCATATAAAGAATTAAAATAGTATTATAAACTAATATAATTTTTGTGGTCTATAAAAATACACTTCAGCTTCAGATAGCATAAATGATGAGCGTGTCAGGCGAGCAAATAAAGTCAAGAGAACAGACAACAGAGAGAGAGAGAGAGAGAGAGAGAGATAATGGGGTTTTCAATGAAACTTCATATAATATTTTTAATTAAAATATGTGATTATGCTCTTAATAAAATAACATAATATTTACCTAGCCTAAAAATATCTACTATCTTCATACGAGTATATATAAGTGGAAATCGCATCGTACAATTTTTAAGTAGTGTTTATAACTTTTGAAAAATATCAGTTCACATATATACAATATTATTTATTATTAACAGATGGCAAAAACTTCTACTATGTAAGAATATATATTTATTAATAAATATTTTGTGTTTTGTGTTGCAATTTTTTTGGCAACAGAACTGAACTTTATGAATCAATAGGAAGATTGCAACTTTTGCAACTTAAGAAATTTTTACAAACAGTTGAGTAAATAAATGCATTCTTTAATTTAACCTTGACAAATTTCGTGTAAGATACACGCTCGCTGCGATCTTATATAAAAACCAAAAATATCTTAACAATATTAATCGTATGTAAAAGTTTTTGAAGTGCAAAACAATACCAAAAAGATTTTATGACTTAAAAATAATTTTATGAATGTCTTTATATGCATAAAACCACATAAATTTATTTTCATTTAAATATAAACATACGCAATGTAAATAAACAGTAAACAAATAAATAAGTAAAATATGTATAAATTATTTTTTAAAAATAATTTCTGGCAAACCACCAAAAAATATACACAAAAAATTGTCATACCTCAAATATTTCAAAAATTAATTTAAAATTTAAAATAATTTTCTTCCTTTAAAATATAAGACCTATGTATCATCCATCTTATGAAACATACTTCTTCACTGACGCGTTTGTAGTGCCACATTGCTTGAATCAGACATAGTATCTATATACATTTATAGTGCGGAACTATACTGTGTACGAGAACACAATACGACGATATTCCGTTTTTTTTTTTTGTTTTTTGGGGGCAGTAAATTGGCGCACGTGACTGAAGTACACGTACACGTACAAATTGTTTTTTGTATATAAAAAAATTATTTACATTTAATGAATCCATACATTTTAAAATAATAAACAAAGAAGTGCACAACAATCAATGGGTCAACATGTTGTATGAGTGTAACTATAAAAATACATTTAACAGAAGCCCACTACCCACATTTTCCTATAGCAAAAATAATTTCTGCTCGCACTATTCCTGTTCAGATAATGTAGTCTATAATAAAAATCATAGCAATGGTGCAGATATTTAACACTATAATGACTCACCTGTTCAATTTCTTGTAGCGTCAATTTCATTTTCTCCAACTTTTTAGTAGCATCCATGCCACCGCTTACTTTCAAGCCCAGCGCACAACTAGCTGCATCGTTCTTCAGCTCTTGCCTCTCTTTGCGCAATTTACTCAGCTCAGCTAAAATGTTTTTCATATACTTGTCATTAAGACGTTCCGCCTGCGAAGGTCTATAACCCGAGCGTGCCTCAAAAGCTTCCTCTAATTGTGTTAATTTCTTTTTAAGTGCAGTCATACGTTTATTGATTTGCTTAAGACGTTCTTCAGGTGATTGAAAAGCTCTCATAACCGGCAATACCTGTTGTATGACATCGCGTGTACGCACATTTCCCAACGAAGTGAAAGCTCGAAAAGTATCAATCGGTTCCATATCATCCATATCGCCTGCATAGAGGTGTGCGGCGCTCTGTTGCTTGTGTTGCTGTGGATAAGGCATTACCTTTGCCAATGTAGCTGCTGTATCAATGTTATCTGCGTTGTGGGGATAGTGATGTACAGCTGCATAACGTCGGCTTAATACTGGTGCTTGATCATCAGGTACTGAACGTTCCCAAGGTAATACTTCTTGTTCAGAAAAAACTGGTAGCTTAGTAGCAGTGACCGTCTTAGTGCTTGGAATAACAGTACAACTGCTATTATCATCGCTACTGCCACCAGTGGAAGAGGGTGTTGGTGAAATTGGCGTATTAGCCTTTGCGTGTTTGTGGAAATCAATTAAATTATTGTCATTGTGATCGTTACCACTGGGTTTTTCAGCTGTTGGTGTAGTATTTGCACTGACTTTCTTGCTGACAAAACCGCGACGTTCGTATTTCAAGGCGGAGAGATCATATTTGTAAACATTTTCATCGTTTCTCTTTGCTGGCATATATTTGATGACATTGTTTCCTGTCATGCCGCTACTCTTCTTAGTTACACCAGCTGCTTTGCGACCGGGTGGTGCGCGTGTCTTGCAGAAACGTTCGCTACTGCGACGTCTTTCATGCTCACATTCGCTATCATCGCTATCGCGATGTCTACCATTGGCACTGCCATTGCCATTGCCATTACCATTTCCACTAGTAGCGCGCATGGGTGAGTGACGATGTGAGCGTGCTGGGCTAGTCTCATACCGTGAACGGCGTGTCATATCCTTCGTAGGACCACTAACTCCCCACTTATCTGTATAGTTTGGTGGTAGTGCTTCATTGCCTTGTTGTTGCTGTTGTTGTTGTTGTTGTTGAATTTTCTGGCGATTAGCCAGTGAAGCATCATTTTCATTGCCAACTTTGCTATTCTCTTGTGTTGTTTTGTTATCTTTCGGTTCAATTTCTTGTACTACATATGGCGACTTTTTAAAATCTTCTGAAGACACACGACGTATTACGTCAGTCGATTTTTTTATAGTTAAATTTCTGCCAACATCACCGTCTGCAGTTTTATCAATATTATCTGCATCGATGGATTTATTGAGGTCTGGTGGTAGAAGTTCCTCACTGTTTGAACGCTGTAACTTGCGATCCTGTGTTGCCGAGGATGTGCTGTCAAGGCGTTCCTTGCGCTTTCGCGATTTTTGCCATTCTGATGGATTAATAATTTCTGGTAAATATGTGGAACTAAAACGTGTTGATGTCAAAATTTGTTGCTGTTGTGTGTTAAGTGAATTCTTATTGTTATTATTATTAAGATTATGTGTTGAAAGTGCTGTTGATATTTTTTCAGGACTTGTTTGTGATTGATGAAGCTGTTGTTCGTGAAGTTCTTGAAGCTTATGATGTAATTTTTCCGTTGTGCTGCTATCTTTATGTGCAGGCGTATTTTCCTCAGATGAAGATGATGATGATGAACTACTACTCACTGAAGATGCTGATGATGAAGATGAACCAGTCAGACGACTCAAGTCGCCTTCACTTAGACCAGTATTGGGATGGCGCATGCCGCACTGAAAGAAGATAAACACATTTTATTAAATTTATTAAATATTTGAGGAATATTTATAATAATTTATACTATATTACAAATTATTATATACATGGAGTATATAATTTACAATAATTTTTATATGTAAATTGAATAACATAAAAAAATTTTTTTTAAATATCATATAATAAATCGAATAATATTTTTGAAATAGTTTTATAGTAAAACAATTCCTATTCAAATATCGATTTTTGGTTTTTATAGGTAAAAGTTGAAAATGTCAAGATATGGGTAAATACCTATATTGTATCAACAAACGAATTAAAAATACTGTAAGGTATTATATATAGTTTTTCAAAAACATATAATATATATGGTACATGGCGCATAACACAAGGTATATGGTTATCCTAATTATGTATAGTATTTGCGATTATTGATACTGATATTTTGTAAGAATTTTATTTTTGGATATTTTAAAAAATATATAATTTAAAATAATATTTTTAATATTCTACAACATAGTCGATAAATGAATAATATAATAAACAAATCTAAAATCTCAAATTGTCTTAAGGCAACATCAACTTATCTTTTATAATTACGATTTCAGACAAATACGTCTAGCATTGAACTCTTG